TTTGGGTTGAAAATTATCCTTCTTGTTGCACTCTGCTGTCATATGATTACCAGCACATTTTACACATTTAGCCTCTCTTTGGCAAAACATTTGTGTGTTCAAATCTCTGACATCTCTTGCATTGCGGAATTGATTTGATATTATTATTGACATTAATGTATTGTATAATCATAATATTGATTATTGATATTGATGTATAAACAGAAACAGAAACAGTACTTCTCAGATAAATTGATTGCATATTATTTCTTTTAAGATAAAAATTTTTGAAATTAGCTTTCAACAATACAAAAAAAAAAAACAAATGAGCTTTTATGAATGAACGAAAGAAAAATTTTGTGAAAAATAATTTCACAAAATTGTAGCTATGCACCAATACATATGTAAGCTATAATTTTAGATGAAGTCAGTGGCATTACAGTTTCTGATACTTTGTTTTTCCAAATGAATTACATAGTATATTCTTTTTATAGGCTCAATCGGACTCGTTTCATTTTTAGCACTTTTCCAAAAAAATTTTGAAAAAAGTGTTAATTAGTTTCACTCTGTCCGTTTGTTCGTCCATCCGTCTATCCGTGTGTCTGTATACAAAACTTCTACACTCGTAGTAGAACCATATGCATTTTTCAAATTTTGCAAACGCAGAAAGACAGTGGCTTACTCTCCTATGGCGGCATACTATATTTAAACTTTAATAAATCCTTTTTTTCCAAATTTTTCAGCTTTTAACAGCTTTCAGATAATAATTAATAGTTCATTTCGTTAGAAAAAAAATTTTCTGCCACCTCCACTCCCTTCCAAGTTATCGCCCCTTGAAATTTATAAAATTTGAATATTTGGCACCTTACTTGCATATTAGCAAAACTGCAAGCTTTTTCAAGTTTCTATAAACGCAGGAAGGTAACGGTAAATTCCATGCTATTAAAAAATATAATTATTTTTCTTAATTCAGAATAATTATTTTATTAATTCCCTTAAAATCGAGCATTATGTTAACCCGTTTTAAAATTAATTTTTGCTTTATTTCAAAAATTGCATAAACAATTCATCCTAAATATATGCAATCCTTGCAAATATGCAAGAAATAGGTACATAAGTTGTTTTTCAAAGCAGTATTTTCACTTGTTGAAGGGAAAAATGCTACAATACAAATCATTAATGGATTGGCTAAATTTCTTATAACTTAAGTTTTGTAACGAAATTCTAATGTTTGGTTATGCTTGATTTTGAGTTTGACACGGAAATTTGGTTTTCTCTTTTTTTAAAGATATTCCCTTATCATAATTATGTCATATATGTATATGTATTATATTTTCTTGTCATTGAATATCAATTCATTAAAAATTGTGCAATCTCTGTTTGTCTACATTACTCTTATGGCAGATATAAATATAGTTTAGCTATTTTTACAGTTTCTACGTGATTAAGTGTATTTTTTTGACGTAATGTGTTAGCACTTTTAAACGCTTTTTATTACTTTTTTATTTTTGAAATTACATGAATTAAAATAGGTATGAGGGTACATAACCCGTATACATCATAAATTGAAGGTACATAACTCTAAATAAATACATCATAAATTAAGTTTTAATGGGAACATTTTTGGTTTAATGTTTGGTTTAATGTTTGGTTTAAACTCCTATATTTATAGGTATGGCCACTCAGAATTTAAAGGTTAACCTGTTTAAGGTTTTCAGTTTATTTAGAACTTAGAAAGAAATGTAAGTACATAAATTATTTCAATATAAAAACTAACTATGGTGTGAAAATAAAAATTTTATTATTAATTTTAGTCGATCTGCCTTGAACAAAAAAATTAATGTGCTAGTAGTATATTAAAGATGTGTATATTGAAGAATTTACAATTTCGTTTTTTTTAATACCTAATTTAATTTTTCATTTTCGCATTCTTTTCAGAAGAAGAAGAAAACTTATTTTCTTTTCAGAAGAAGAAGGCGACACATACCATACCATAAAAGAATATAATTATTTATCTTAAATCACGCAATTAGCCCTTGAATTCGACTATTATGTTAATACCTTCTTCCATTTTCTTTTTGTTTCATCCTATAAATATGTATACGATCATTCTAAATATTTTGGTATATCACTAAAGATAAATTAAAATGTAATTCAAATTGATTTCAAGAACATTAGCTTCACTAGTTTAAGGGGAAAGTGTTGTTTTATTGACCATTGGTTTGGCCTAACTTTATTTATAAAAGTTTCAATGAACCGTTTAACTGAATTAATTAGGAAGCTCATTCGCGATATGATTTTCGAATTCATATCAAGAATAAATATGTAAGTAACCCTATATTCCATATTAATTTAATTAATGTCCTAGTTCATTTTCTTCTCTATACTTTTTCTTGTGAAGTGATGTACATTAATTTAAGGGAATTATTTTTTATTGTGAAGAGATGTGCGGGCTATTTTTATAAATTTTTTTTGGCTTAGTGTAGTCTAAAGATCTTGAATGGTTAAACACATATTTGTGTTTTGGATCTTTGAGAGGCTTTAAAGATAGAAAACTTTTTCAAGGAAATATGCTCCTTGCAATGTTTTTTTTAATTTTGTTTCAAATGTACTAAAAAGGATCTAAATATTTTGAAGTTCTTGTTTGTGTAACTATTTCGATTAGAAATATGAACTATTTGTATTTTTGAACAATTCTTACTTTAAAAAACAAAAATTGACGTTTTCACGACGATGAGATAATAGGCGACAAGGTGACGCTCACTTAAATGCAACCTGAGTATAAAAGTAATAAAAAATTTTTTTACTAATTAGTAATTTTTTATAGTTTTTTTCCTAGAACCCCATCAATTTGACAATTATGCCATCGATGCAACAGTTTAAAACTGTTAAGCTTTTATTTTGCTAATGTGAATTGGTTGATGTTTTTCAAAGCGGATTCAATTATTGATGAAAAAAAAATCCAACCATTAGTTACTTGATGTACATGCTCTTACGAATACTTTCATTATACAGGGGGTTTCGCATAAGGTGGCAAATAATTTCCAGCAAAAATATGAAAAAAAAATGGGTGGGGGGAGAGGGTGTGCGGCCAACTTCGCTTTCTAGCTGCAGCATGTTGAAGAAAAGGGTATCAGGTTTTTCCTTCATATAAGTAAGTGTTTGTATACCTTCTGAATAATGCGATATAGAGCAGCCAGCCAGAGGTTGTTTTACAGGCAATTTATTGCTCTTTATTTTCGGTCTTACAATAAATTTGAATTTGAGATAACGAATTCGCCAAAATCAGAATTATTGTTTGAAAAACTCGAAATTTTTCGAAAATTTTTATTATTTTTTCTTTTTTACTAATAGCATTTTCCTCTATCTCTCATAGTTTTTCCAGTAAAACTTGTTAAATATGTTTGAAAAATATCCGAAAAGTGCATATTTCTTACATTCCATATATAACATAATTATATTACATATGCATATGTATATGACATAATTATGATAAGGGAACACCTTTAAAAAAAGAGAAAAGAAAATTTCAGTGTAACAACTCAAAATCAAACCTAACCAAACAGAAAAATTTTGTTACAAAACTTATGTTATAAAATGAATTAAGCCTAAAGAGTCCAATTGAGCCTAAAGAACAAATATACTATGTAATTGATTTTGAAAAACAAAAGCCAAGTATCAGAAACTGTCATACCACTAGTAGTATCAAAAAGTTTCATGAATTACAAGATGACTAGTTTTTTGAGATCAAACTTCATTTAAAATTATAGCTTACTATTGTGTTGGTGGCTGTTGCATATAATTTTGTGAGATTACGCAAAATTCTTATTCAATATTTTCAGTCGTTCATTCGTGGGAACGCACTTCTCCATGGTAGAGAAGTGTAAACAAACTATTTTTAGCAACCTGTCGATCTGTCAGAATCAATCAATTTCAAATTTAATATTTAAATTGGGAGTAATGAAACAATGAACATACAAATTTTTTGGAACAATCAGGGCTCGGAAACCAAACTAGGGGCCGAATTTACGTTTTTTATCATATGGAACTATTTGATGGAATTTATTGAAATTTGATATTTGGTTCTGGTTATTACTAAAAGTAATTGGTAAGCCTTTCAGGGAATTCGGATGGCACAAAGCGAAACTCTGCTAAGAGCCAAATTCACATTTTTCTAGATATGTTCAATAAAAGCTTACTTACGCCCTAAAAATTGTAAAGAAGTATTTAAAACGCATTTTTATAGTATTCTGTAACATTTTCACTTAACTAATAAATACACATTGCCGTCGGTTAAATGCTGATGACATCAGATTTTTTTGTTTTGTGTTGTTGAAAGAAAATTTAAAAAATTTGTATCTTAAAAAACGTATTATGCAATCAATTTATCTGGGAAGTGCTGTTTCTGTTTAAATATCAATATCAATAATCAATATTATAAGTACATAATCATGACCAATTTTTTTTTGTATTTTATTTATTCTTTATGTCATATATGTATATACATGTATAATTATTGATGTAATATTTTATATTATCGGCAAAAAAGGTTTTATACAAAAATTTTTCAAAATATAAAAGTTGTTTGTTCAAAATTTGTGAGAAACATCATACCTACATGTTTAATGAAGAGAATGTCCTAGGCAATGTAATGAAATTTTTAATTTTTGTTTATTATTCTTATAGAAAAAATGATATGAAATACACTCTAAAAATAGCTGTGTGCTTATATAAAACAAGCAACTACGTTTATGAAATTTTTTTGCAAACATCCTTAATTTATGTTTTATATGTATAATGTTGATACGCTTATTAAATTAATATATGTGCCTTTGCTCCATACGTATGCAAGGTCTTTCACACAAGGTGGCAAATAATTTCTGCTGCAATTTACAATTTTTTACAGGAAATTGATTAAACAATCATTCCTGAAATTATTTGTCACCTTACGCAAAACACTCTGTATACAACGCTCTTAAATTAATGCACTTTGATTTAAAATAAAAAAGTTGTATATTTACCTACTTCATCTAAAGCACACATAAATACTTCCGGCGCCATATATGGTTTTGTACCAGACATACTACATGCTAATCCATCCTTTTGTAATCTAGTAGCGATATTAAAATCTGTTAAATGTGCATGACCTGTTTTTAAATACAGAAATCGCAAAAAAGGGTCTTATTATTATTCAAATAATATTAAAAGTTGGAAATTAGTTTGTTGAAATTAATTTTCTTTACACTTTATTCCTACTTTTTGCTCAAACTGAAAATTTATTCTAAAATAATTTTTATGCATGAATTTTTTAAAATTTTGTTTACATTTTTTGTATTATACATATTGGTGGCCTACTTACAAAAATGACATTTCGAGTAAATTGCGATTGAAATGTTAAATACATATTTAATTTTCAAGAAAATTTTGAAAATGCTTATGTTAAAGTAGAGTGAAAGGAGGAGTAAACTAAGTATTTTGAAAATATAGAACAATTCTTTAAACCATTGCAGCTCTATTGAACATAATAACTCATTTTTTCAAAAATGTTGAATAGGTCACTAATGCGCTGAGCGCCTCATGTTAGTCAAATGAGCAATTTTATTTGTTTCTGGCTAAAGACAGGAGATTTAAATTAATTTTCCTAATTTTGCTTTCAATATTTAAAATTTAGCACTATGGTAAGATATGTTATGCTCATATGGATACGTAATAAACATATATTAATATAATATTATATTTTTATTTATTTCAGTAGCTGTATTTCTACCTTCAATTTTGTAAAATAAGTAAGCATGTAGTATGATTTAAAACTTTATGATTTTATCAAAGAAATTTATTTTTATTTTTATCAAATTTAAATTTTATTTTTATTTTATGTAAATATAAGCTTATGCTTTTAAAAACTTTGAGCTTTTTAATTTATTCTACCTTTATAAATTTGTATAGCCCTGAAAAGGACTTCCTTTTTTCTATTCTCCTAGTTTTTGTGAACGTATCTTAGTTTTAAGTTTGCAGTGGCTAAAATATTTTTTGCCTTTTTCTAAGAAGAAATATGTATGTAAAAAAAAATTAAAGTTCATTTTCCAAAAAAAAAAGAGTCTGCCATAAAAAAATTGGTCGAGGTTGAGTTGTGAACATTTTTCCCATACAAAAGTCTTTTTTATACTCTTAAGGATCTATACAATGATATATAAAAATGCATTTAACAGTACGCACTTATGTACTCTGTACGAAATGTTTTACTTGATTTTTTTACTCTTAATAAATTAAAATACATTTGTTTCTAAGAATGTTCTACAGGTATATACAAGCAAATACATATGCATATGGGGTTCATAAGAAATCTGTGTTTTTGATAAAAATGTTCAAAATTTTGCGAAAATAATGTTGTTATTATAATTATTATTCGTACATTTAACATATTTCGTAGGTTATATTGCGAAGCATGCTATGCATAAAATTTTGAAACAGGTTGAAATTAACTTATGCATGCAAAAGTTCATATTTTAAGTTAAGGATTGAAATAATTTTTAATATTTGAAAATCAAGTAGAAAAAAAATTAGTTTGCTTTGGTTTTAATCTAAATTCCAGAGGTGGACATGTCTGCATGTACTATATATAGAACGATATAGACGAAGGTAACTAAAATATTCGTCATCTTCTCATAATAATAATTCTGTATTATTTTTGATTTAAACTAAACATAGTATAAGAATTAACAGTTAATATTTATTTACAATCAGTTACATTTTACAGAATTTAAAAAAAAAAATATTACATGGCTAATTAATTTTAAAATTTTAACAGGTAACTTACCATCGTCATCTAAAAGTATATTGTCAGGTTTGATGTCTCTGGAAAATAGAAAAATACACAGTAAATACATACTTTTACTGATATATAGCTAATTTGCTTTATTAAAAAATTAAAAAACTTTAAGCAAAATACGAGCTTTACCAATATACATAAGTCGAATATCTTGAAAATATTTTTGAAAATTATTCTCGTTAACAATAGTTATAAAAAGATAATTAAAATAAATTCAAATAATGACAGAAAACTTCTTTCTGAAATTTTCTTATTTAATAAGAAAATAAACACACAATATCGAAATTATAACTGAAATATTCACTCTTATTGTAAATCTCACTCGTAGCACTGAGATTGGAGAAATTACGAATTTCATATTGTGAATTTCGAAATACTTAAATTGTCTTTTGTCATTGTAGATTCGTAATCTCTGCGAGTGAGATTTTTAATATTAATTACTTAAAAGTCTTGAAATTCGTAGAATTCTAGGAGTGAGATTCACAATACGTGTGATGTAGAGTTGTGATATCTACGTTTCTAAATTGAAATTCGTAGAATTCTAGGAGTGAGATTCACAATACGTGTGATGTAGAGTTGTGATATCTACGTTTCTAAATTGAATGGGATCGGTACATCGCCGCTTGTAATTTGATTATAAATGCTTTCTATAAAGGGATCGTGACAATCAGTACCCATAAAATGGAATCGTCAGTAAATCTTTAATTTCGTGTGATATAATATTTTTGTAAAGTTATTATATAAGATTACGCTTTATTGACCTTAAAATTTCAGTGGCATAAGACTACCTGCCAAACATTTTATTAATATTTTATTAATATTTGCTCCTTAATCGAAGTTCAATAAATTTCGAAATGAGGTTTGATTTAGACAGACGTGGAGAATAATTGCTTAAGCGAGGCGGGCTATTATGAGACCTACAAAAACTCCGACATTACGTTTACACAAAAACTCCGACATTGTTCAATAACTTTATTCAAATACTATTAACTTTCTCTTTAATAAATTTTTATAAAGTACTTAAATTTTACTTATAAGTGTATGAATATTTACCTATGGACAACTCTTTGTGACTGTAAATAATCCAAAGCTGATCCCAATTCACAGATTAATAAGGCAACACTGTCTTCACCGAACTCAACCTGTTTTAAAAAAAGAAAAAGGAAGATTTTTCCTTACTTTTTTAGATTTTATATACAATATTGTAACTATTTATGAAACTGGATACTTACTCTTTGTTGAAGATGATATCTTAAATCACCGCCTGTTAAAAGGTCACAAACCATAAATAAGTCTTCTTCATCTACAATTAAAAACAGAGAAAGTGGGGGAAAAGAAAAGAATTAATAATAAAAATTCAAGTACATTTTTCTTTTTTTTTTCTTTTATTAAGTGCTTTATTCCATAACTTAATTTAGACATTTATTTAAAAAAAAAATATTGACGTCGCGCTAGTTTCATTATTAAATATGAATTTTTTAAAAAAACAGAAAGAGTTTTTATAAACGTTAGAATTAATAAAGTTGAATCAAACCAATGGTTTGTAATGTGGCACTTTTCCTTCAACTAGCGAAAATACTTCTTTTTAAAAGCAATCTACATAATGTACATTATTAAAATTACTTTTATTCATATACATACGACTATATTTCAAAAATTGCATATACATACTCGTATTTAGTATGAGCAATGTATGTAATCTTTGAAATAAAACAAAAAAAAAGGTTTAAAGAGGTGTTAACATAACGCTTTCATTTAATGGTTAATTGTGTGAGTTAAGCAAAATAATTATATTTTTAATGGCATGGAATTTTTCATTAGACTTCTGCATTTACATAAATTTGCAAAAGTTTGCAGTTTCGGAATTATAAGATATCAAAAATTGAAATTTGGCAAATATTAAGAGGTGGCAACTTGATGTGGGGTTGAAAAAAAAATTTCTTCTAACGGAATTAGCTATTTATTTATGTCTAAAAGCTGTTAATATTTCAGTCTCGAAAAAAAACTTTATTAAAAAATTAAAATAAAGGAATAAATTCTTAAAAACATTCACAAAAATAAAGTTTGAGGAAGTTTAAAAATAATTTTAGGAAGTTAATTTAAAGATTTACTTTAGTTATTACCCATAATCATTTTTAATTGATTTTTGTAGTGATTTAGTTTAATGCAATCTCAAAATTTTTATGTTAATATTGGTACTCTGAGAGAAAATGGATTAACAATAAAGCAGAAAATAGCTAAATTTTATTTCCTAGGAAAATATATTGCAAATTCCATGCAGTCAAGTACTGATAAATAAAAGTATTAAATTTCAGTTATTTTTAGTTTTTAATTTTTTTATTTTATGCTTCAATTTAAAATTTTGATTAAATTTAAATGATTAAATTTTTTTGAATTCTAATTTTGATTAAATTTAAAATTCATTGAACTGTTTCTTTGGTACTAAACTTTTATTTCTACATTTGTTTAGAATTTTGGTAATATTTATATCATTAAGAAATTTTTAATGCATATGTATAGAAATTTTTTATGCATATGCATGTATTTATGTACATAATAAATACAATAATTACAAGAAAAATAATTCTTACCTTGAAATGAAAACCATAAATTAACTAAAAATGGATGTTCTAATGTTGCGAGTAATTCAACTTCTTTAAGTACACCACCTAAGGCTCCTCGACTTTCACAAGCCCCACGACTAACGTACTTCATTGCAAATAATCTTCCGGTGTCGCGTTTCTGAACAATACAGACCTGTAAATGTTTTTGAATATAAGTTAAAATCATATGCATAATTAAATATAAAATGCGATAAAAAAATAAACAATCGTTTATACTGCATACTTTATATACACAATTAATGTACGTTACTTTTATTATAGTTCTTCAAACTATTTTATCATAAAAAGGGTGGATCTATTCTTAATTAAGTAAAACGATATGCTTAATACTAAAAGGACATATTTAGAATCAGTTTTTTACAAAATTTTAATATAATTTATCCATTAGAGTTTAAAGAATTAAATAATGCAATTTTTTCAATCTGTATGAATTTTAAAATTTTGCTTCAATTTCGTAAATTTTGAATCTTATTTTTTTTGCGAAGTGAAAGTTATTTCAATTTTCTTTTAAAGCAGAAAACTAATGGCAATATTTCTTCCAATAAATAGTATTATAATTATTTATATTAACTGTTATAATCTATGTGCTTGTCTTGAGAGGCATTGTTTTGATCTCATCAATTTAAATTTTCATTACCACTTTTTCATTCTTTTGAAAATTCAGAAAATTTTTCAACACAAAGTTTTAATGAATGTTTACAATTGTTTTAGTTCAATGGAACAAAATTTTCAGTACATATACTGGTGCCCCGATAATGTAGTAAAGGGTAGATATGGAGAAATTCAATGACGTTTGGGAAGAAGCATTGATTTATTTAATAAAAAAACAGTTAAATTTAAAATTTTTGTTGTTCAATGAAAAGATTTTAAAATATATGTACACCAATGTTATACCAGTGGTATATTATTATGTATAAAATATATTAATTCAATTCTGATATATCATCTCAATTTGTTATAATTAAATAAATTATTTTATATATAAAATATTATTTAAATCTAAAATTTTTATTATTTAAACCCAAAATTTTAATAATTTTAGTTTTAAATAAAATAATCCCCTCTAATTACCCAAAGATGAATTTTAAAATAATTATTTTCTTAAAGTTATATTTCCATAAGAATTGAATTGGATTGCTTATAAAGTTACGTCTTTAGTTTACAGCTTCGAAAATATCGGGGATCGAAAATAGGCACTTTGCAAATTTTTTAGTGTTAATAATTCGGGACGGGCAGGTGGTACAAAGTAATTTCTGTAATAAAATAACATCATATATCGGAATTTATAGCTTGTTAGAATCGAACTTTAATCCGAGAAGAAAATTTACTTCAAAGATAAGGAAAAATCTGCTTGACAGTTAATTTGAAGGTTAATTCGGTAATGTAACATTTGAATAGATTTTCATGACCCCTCCACCGGTATTTCCTACATATGAGGCGCTCACCGCATTAGTGATCCACTTGAAAAATAACATTTTGAGTAAATTGTGATTGAAATGTTGAATATTTAATTTTTAAGAAAATTTTGAAAAGGCAAAAACAAACTTATGTTAAAGTAGAGTGAAAGGAGGAGTAAACTAAATATTTTGAAAATATTAAACAATTCCTTAGACCATTACAACTTTATTGAACATAATAAGCCATTTTTGCAAAAATGTTGGATAGGCAACTAATGCGCTGAGCGTGTTATGTATTTTGTTAAACTTTTATGTACATATATATGCTGTTAAACTAATATGTATGTTTTTTAACTATTTCCAAACAAAGCTTTTACGGCTATTTCAAACTGAAAATATTACAACAATGAAAGCCCTATTTAGGGTTTGGTGGAGAGTGAAATGTGCTTCAAGTTTCTAGTTCATCTAGAGCTACCCGAATTTTCTACAAGGTATTCATAATAACAAAATAAGAGAAAACAAGAGATAAAAGACTCACATCCCGCTAAAAAAATTTGTTTTCTGTTTTTATTTGGTGCTTATTTTCTTACCTTTCCAAAACTACCCTTTCCAATAGCTCTTAGAATTTGAAAATGATCAAAGTTCACTAAAAACAAAATTCAAAATACTTTTTATGAAATTCAATAAAAAACAGAAAAAAAGTCAAAAAACTTACCATCATCATCTGACAAAATATTTGGATCTGTTCGAGTAGAAGAATTTGCTCCCATTATGCATGTGGAATAAAATGTCAGCCAGCTTACTTCTTTAATAGACTGCTATATTCTCGGTAATACTTTCGGCATAAATGAATCTCGGTATCTAAATTCCTTCGTGTTTTTTTTGCCTTTAGTTCTAACTTTTCCAATTTATTTCAATCACATTATTGATAAAATTGAATTATGATATTAAAATTGAATAAAGTTGAATTATTTGATAAATTATAAAAAGTACTTAAAGAAATAATTGAACATTTTACCAAGGTGAAACTAATTTATACATATAATATTGCGTTCAATGTTTTTAATCGCCCTGAAATTAAAAAATTAAAAATAAAATAATTGTATTAATTATTTTTTTGGATTATTTATTATTAAACATTATTTTCACAATTAATACACAGAATAAATGACAAAAATATTTAGGTTTCTTTTCCTGATCTAGATTTGTTGAATTTAACCTAAGATAAGGTATAAAAATCTATGTTTGAGTTTTCTATTATACAATCGTATTGGTTTTTGGATCACAGCTTCTTTTGAAGTTAAGCAGTATGCATAATGAGTGTAACAGTGTTGCGATATGCTGAATAAGATATGCTCTTATACTAGGTTTATCAGTAGGATAACCCCCCAAAAGGTTAACAGAAAATTGACGAAAGAGCGCTTTTCTACAAACAGTTAAAGTTATAAGGTAGCTTTCTCAGTCTCCTGGCTTTATTCTCGTTGAAAATTTTTGAGCTGACATTAAGAATTTTGCAGTTAAAAAGAACAGAAAAAATTAATGAATTGTGGTGTACAGGTCAGTAGCGTGGGAAGTTATTCCAATTTAAATGTTAAGCAGGATCAAATGGCACTTTTCGTCTGTATTGGTAAAAAGGTTAACTGAACAAAATATTAATAATTAAAAGAATAATTTTGTTTAGTTGAAAGCAAAACTTTCATTTCGATTTGGTAAAGCTATTATTTTGAACGGCGAATTTTTGAGTTTTGAAAATAATAGGCTAAATATGCTTAGTTTTTTCCCATCATATTATAGTAAATTATAGATTTAAATGAAAATTCTTACTATTTAATGTATGTATACTTTTTATTAAAATGAAATTTGTTATTCAAAATACTGTAGCATGTAACAATATGAACATTTAAATTCTATTTGTATGTGAAATATCGAAGTGGCTAAAAACGTAGCACATATGGACGTTAAAAAAATTAGTGCGATTTTTCTATTTATGAATGTGTAAAGATAAAAAAAAATTTTTTAAACTAAACTTCTATATTTTCAACTCATAACGTGCCATATCTTAAATTAAGTTTTCTTTAAAACCAGGCAGGACAGCAATTGTTTCTTTGTATCAGATTAAAATGGACGAATTATCATTTCTTTTTGTCAGCCGTAAGGGCTCTGGAATCTTGCCAGATTTCCTTCTGGTTGGTGCGTGACTGCCTAAGCATTATCGATCGGTTTCGGCAGGACAACCGGATCACGTTGTGGTAATAAACAAGGAAGCAGGTATGCAGGCGAAGCAGGGTTCGTATTTCTGTTTTTTGGGGTTGAAGCCTTTCTGCAGGGAAGCAAAGTACCCTGATGCACCTTGTCAGTGAGTGTCGAATGTAGATCCATAAAAGAAGGGACAGCTTTTGTGGACCTTCGATGGAAGCAATGTGGGATGCTTTTTCAGAAAAGTTGCCCGGATTCTCGAGGGAGAAGTCTAAAATATTCATAAGAACTACTTTATGTGAAAAATTTTTATATATAAATTTAAAAACAGTTTTTTTAAAGCCTGAAACGTTAATCGAAATAATCGATTTAAAATACAAAATATTTTAAGAAAAGTAGAGCAAGAATATATATACACGTCCATAAGGCAGATGACTCCTTCAAGTGGTTACAATCAGTCATGCGCAATATCGTTCATTTGAGTGATTCGTTCTGAACGAACTACTTTTTTTCACTGACGGACATGTTTAAATCAACACAAAATTTTACGCTGAGCTAAATTATATATATGTCCATACCGCAGGTGACTCCTTTAAGTGGTTCCAAATTCCGTGCCAAAGTTAATATACGCGTATATTAGAATCGATACAGCTAAAAATATAAATCAATTTCCTTCACACCAATAATTTCCAACACTTTTTGCGTTTTTCATACAATTTTGGAAAGGATTTTTGATTTACTCTCTGAGCTTGGTGGCTTAATAGATATTATATACGGCATTAATAGAATTTTTTAATATTAACTGCTTAAAAGGAACTTCACACAATATGAGAAAGTTACACTCATATTTCAAATAAAAAATATTACTCAAATTATTATTTATTTAACATTGCAATATTATGCAATGAATATGTGAATTATGAATATATTCATATTGCATATTGCAATAATATGCAACATGAGAAATAAAGAAAAACATTTTCTTCTTTCTATAGGAAAATTTATCTGGAAGTAATAAAATAACAAAATCAAAGTATAAATTGAACAATCTGAAATTCTTTTTAATCTTAAGAAAAAAACCAGGGAAAAAAGTTGGAAATCTTGTTTGTATTTATTTAAGTCATTTAATTTATGCGTATATAGTTTTCCTTCATAATTTAAATTTCCTACAGAATTTTAAATTTTCTTCCATAATACTCGTAAACCGAAATTATTAAAGGGCTTGTAAAGTTTGAAACAATTTTTGATTTTATGTTACATTATTACTTTATGAACATTATGAGACCTTTTTTGAATTTTACTTTATTGAATACGATCTTAAAGTTAAAGTAATCCGAATTTCAGTTCGTGTGTATTGCTTTAAAAAAAAGTTTTCCAATAATAAATGAATCTTTTTACAATGGATACTCGTATAATAATTAAAAATAATGGGTTTACTAAGTTTTTGAAAATATTATATAAAATGTTTTTTTAGAAATAAAGAAAATAACAACAAGTAAAAGCGTTTCAGTAGGTATAAAACGGCCGAATTATACCATGGAATCTGAGTTTAAAATTTGTTTTTGAAATCTAGAACTAGCTTTCATTGTTGTATACCAAGTACTCGAACCTGCCAAGCTACTTTATAAAAATTGCACGGATGTATCTCACCTATAATTGGAAACACAACTGCCAAGTTTCCCCAACCTAACTTTATTATTTTTTCCGATATTTTAAATTAGCTTTTGGAGTTGAATGGCAGCTACCCGAATCTGTCCAGTTATTCCAAGAAAACTTTAGGAATATATGGGATCTATAATGAGACACATCACTGCCAAGTTTCATGAATCTGAGTTTATTATTTTTCCGAATATTTTAAATTACCTTTTGGAGTTGTATGTCAGCTGTCCAACCCTGTCAAGTCATTCCATTAAAACTTCAGGAATATATGTGACCTATTTATTATTTTTCTAAATATTCGAAATTAGTTTTAAAAGTTGTATGGCAGCTACCTGAACCAGAACCTCGATCATACATATTTTAAATAGGGTTCTGGCATTTACTATAATAAATGATTTGTCAAAATTTGGGGAACTTAGCTAAATTAGGTCTTGAGTTATAGTTGAGAAGGCCGGTCGCTAATCAAAAAATACTTAATATATACTTGAGTTTATATCTCAGACCATTATATCTCAGCGTTACAAACGCTAAGGTATATTTAGTATAGCTTCGAACGTACGTTTATGCGGGTATAGAAAAATCTCTTGCCTATATATGATTACAAAAATTTTGAGTTCAATTTTTTGGTCCTTTAATTAATGTAGAAATAATGAAAGAAGAAAAACAAAAAAAAATTGGAAGGGAAGGTGGTTAGCAGAAAAGTATTATTAAATTAATTTTTAGTCGAATATTTATTTCGTTAAAATGCGAAACTTTTCAGAAACAAAATGTTCTTGCTCCGATTGTTGTGGGTTAATATTTTTTGGTAGTCCTTTTGTTTTTCTATTCTGTTTTTCAATAAAATAGGCAGTGGATAAGAAAGCAGAAAACAGATTATATTCAATTGAACAGTAGATTCAACTAGAAGAAAGTGATGTAGTGGACGGAGTGGTATGGGTTAGTAACATTTGATCGTGCTATGATTATATGTATTTTATAAATTGTACGTTATTGATTTTTTCACTTTTGTTTTTTGTTTCGTTATAAAATATTATTTTCGGACAACGTCAATGAAATAAATTTCTTTTTAAATCATTTGATTTCACGGGGTTAAACAAGAATTTGCAGTTATGTATATAATAAAAATTATAGATAATCTCAAATTAGAATTTTAAAACAAAAACAAGTAAAAATGTTTTAGTCGACCTCAGCTGACTTAATTATACTTTGCATCAGGACAACTTAATTAGTGATTATAAAACTAAAACCTATAATGAGCAAGATGAACACAATTTTCGAGAGGTGTATGAACTATAAATCGGCGATTTCTTTAAATTCTAAGGAGCTACCTTAATAAGATTTTGAAATATTTGAAAAGAGTTTTTTTAAAAATGAGGATCAGCTGTCTGAAACTGTCAAAATGTTCCACTAAAACTTCTAAGATATATTTGAGCTATATAATTGGACACATGGCTGTAAAATTCCATGAAACTAGTTTTAATAGTTTTTCGAATATTTAAAATTAGTTCCTAAGTTTGTATCCTTTCAAAACTTCTAGAATATATTTGAGCTTTAATTAGACACTGGATATTAAATTTTAGGAAGCCCGCTAATTTAATTACAAATAGTTGCGAATTCCATATTAAAGTAAATATATGCTTCACTAAGGTGTATGGTATAAAAGTTGACAGGTTGTTGTTTCAAATTCTCTAATTTTTCAAAATAAAATGTTTTACCTAAATGCAAATTGTTAATACCTATATTTAATTAAATTTTTACGGGCTTAAAACAAATGCTTCTTTTATTAAAATGCAAAATAAAAAATATAGGACAGAAAAAAATAGTTGAATTCGAATCAATGAAAAGAGTAGATTCAAAGTTTCTTTTTCAAAATAAAATGTTTTACCTAAATGCAAATTGTTAATACCTACATTTAATTAAATTTTTACGGGCTTAAAACAAATGCTTCTTTTATTAAAATGCAAAATAAAAAATATAGGACAGAAAAAAATAGTTGAAATCGAATCAATGAAAAGAGTAGATTGAAAGTTGCAAATTAAATCGTTTATCTTTAAAAACCTTTGAAGAACTTAATTAAAATATTACATAAACATGCTATCAGTAAATTATTTTTTAAGTTTCAAGCCTCAAACTCACAAGTCATGGGCTCATACATACACATATATATCTACAGCCCTAAAGGTAAAACATTTTTTTTATTTAAAAAATTTGCACAT